GAATTTCAAATAGTTAATTTGATACTAATATCGATATATTTTTGTCAAATTTTTATGATATWTTCAAACATATATTTTATTCAAAAATTAAAACATCATTGCTTTCTCAAAATCACATAAAACCATATTATAACATTAACTGAAATAAAAAATAAAATAAAATATTAAAATCACAATGTATCTCGTTGTAATACACGAATACGCTTCTAGTATATTATATATCACAATTTTGTGTGATTTAGAATTTTAGAGGACGAAACAAATTTATAAAATTTATTTGGTTTCTCGTAATTTAATTAAATTTTTTAAATTTAATAATAAGGCGTATGGAGTTGGTGAAGTCAATGGTTGGTTAGATATATATATATATATATATATATATATATATATATATATATATACTTGGTTGAATCTATGACTATTTGTGGTGGACCCACTTAAACTTAAGAACCTGACCAGGTCAACGTCAACATCTGCCATTCGACTCTTACGCTCACAAGTAGATCTCCAGGGATGTTTTTTATATTTTAATATTTATGTTTCTAGAATACCATATTTTTATTTTAATGTTTTCTCTTTAAAAAAAAAACGATAATTGTGGTTTATAATATCATCAATTTTATATTATTAAAAGATATAATCGAAGTAATAGTGATTATTAATACTATTTGCACCTCCGTTTATATTATTAATTAAATATATTTGAATTATTTATGTTAGAGCACGATACTTTTCCCAAAACATTTTATTTTCCTTTCACCGGAGACATCTTACACACTTTTTCCAAAGTTGTATTTTAAAGTTTTCTTCAACTACGTTGAATAACAAATATAATGTTATAAACGTTGATTAATTAGTAACGTTGGTCATAAAATTGAGACACAGATGTAATTATTTTCTAACCATAAGTGTACACGGGACAAATTTAATGATTAATATCAAATAACAGTGTAATCAAAATATCATCAATTAAATATAGAAATTAAACATTGTATGTTGATTCAACATGTAAGCAAGCAATTGTTCAAGGATTCTTCTTGCATTGTGTAACAACCCAAGATCATATTTGCATAAAAACATATACTTCCATATATCAAAGAAATATAACTTTACATAACTGGTCCCACTAATTACGAAAGTTACATTACAAAGTAGCTATCAAATTTTTTTCACAAAATTTATATACAACACTTGAATACATAAACAAGTATTCAGATACAAAAGAATAACATATTAGCCTACTATCCCATACAAGCATATTTATAACTCATCATAATCAATTTCCCCTTATCCTCTGGTTGTGCTCGACCTGTAATGCACATTTTTAAACATAAAATGAGGGTTAAACCTTCAGATCTAATGAGAAATCTCCTTGATGCTATTATAGGGTGAGAATCACCAAATCACATTTATGAATTCATATTTGTATTGGTCACAAGTAAATAATATTTTCACAATCCAAACTTCATTTATCTCATCAAGATAGCCAAATAACTTGATAAACACATTCTGAGTAAATTTATCGCATCACATAGATGAATTTATAATTTTCTCGCATCACATGAGTGAGACAATCTCATCTACTCGCAACACACTGGTGCGAGAACCTCAACTCATCGCATCATACTTGTGCAATAAACCCAACTTATTGCATCACACAGGTGCAATAAGTCAACTTGTCACATCACAAGAATGCCACAAACTCACTTCCTCGCATCATATAGATGCGATAATCACTTTTCATCACATCAATAGGATGCAATAACTCTAAGTTATCACATCACACACTGACGACAACTCCAAGTCATCACATCAAGGATGCGATAACAATAAACACTTTGATCAAAAACCCAGATTTTATAATTCAATGATTATGTCACCCTTATCCGGGTATACATCTCTCTTTGATATGCTACCCTTATAATCAAAATACACTTCTTCTTGATATGTTACTTTTATTTCAACATATGATATAAACATAAAAAATCCATATTTATGCTAATTATAGATTCAAAACAATTTTATATCAACCCATATAAAGAACCATACGTTTCTAATTCTAATTTCCAAATAAGGAAAGTTGTAAAATAAACTCACCTTATGTAATTCACGTAGATGATATGAAGATGAAATAGCAACAAGTATCCAGGCAAAGATTCAAAGAACTCAACTTCCTTTTTCGGTTATTGTTTTAATCGCACCAAAGAAATACAGACAACAAAGTTCTCTTCTTTTTCTCGGCTTCAAAACGTACACACACATACATAGGAAACCCCTTATTCTTTTAAACCCACTTTATCACCCCCAATGAGATAACCTAATTATCTCATATTAATTTACTCAAAATATGCATGAGACGATGGGATGTTTTTAAAAACATTTAATCACATAAACCATTCAGCCTCTCAACTTACCACCAACATTAGAAAACAACTCTGAGTTTTATAACCAAATATCTAGTTATCACACATTGTGCATGAACCATCACACTTTCTAATCTCTAGGTGTCATACTTGAACAAAGCCACCATTAGGAACTAAACAAATAGTCTTCTTGTAAGGCCATAAGCCAAAACAACATATTAATATAGTAACCTTCAAATTAATTAATCTCACATTCTGAGATTTAGGGGTTGTTTGTTTACCTCTTAATAGTTCCATTAAGAGGCAGCCTCTGAATCGTTAAGAGGTAAATCTTGTTTGGAAAAAAAAAGTTTGCTTCTTGATGGTTCTAAAGCCATCTGAATGATTTTGTATCATCGGCCTCCCTTAACCATTAAGAGCCCTAATTTTATCGTAAACAATTACTAAACAATTATATTTCATTTTGCACTATATCATGAGAAACCTTTTAATCATTCCGACCACTTAATGATTATGCACAAAATCATTCAACAACCGCCAACACAACCCCTTATATAAGGATCTCTCTGTATTTTATTCAAGTGAGATGGCCAGGTTGCACGAACCCCACCGTACTTAAATCAATCATAAGCACATGAATTCCACTTTCCATCAATGTGAGGCAAATTGCTATAAACTCACTCATTGAAATTCCTATCGTTCTCATTAATTAGGCGTACCCAACATTTTGCTTACTTACTAACGATGTCGTATTAGTTATTCACTTGTATATGATGTTAGAAACATCCAACTTTCCATCAATATATGGGATAGATTGTCACAAGCTCTCCCACTTAAATTCATCACCTCCTATCAAGCTTAAAACTTGTTTATAAGCAATGTGGAACTCAACTAATATGTTACAATTTTCTCATAGGGACTTGTCATGGTAGATGAAGTTTGCCCCGTTATCCTGATTATACAAGATCGACTCTGATACCATTTGCAATGCACCAAATCAAAAAGTAATAAGTTGATACACTAACCTCCAAATCAACTAAAATATATTACGAGCGTTCTGACATGATCGCCTATATATGCATCTTACAATTGTATTTATAGGATATCCATGGAAAATAACATGAATTAATGGAAAGAAGGACCACTTTATACATATAACTTCCATATTTTTTTTTACCAAATGTCATTAGTTGATCAACTAACTCATCAGAGCATCTTCAACATATTCTCTAAAATACAGAAAATGGAGCTTTTGTTATCTATTTTACTCCAATAGATTCTTTATATAGTTTTCAAAAATTGAGAAAACTAAAGGTAAACTCCAAGTTTAAAAAATTCTTTAAATTAAACTTGATGTATCGAGAGATAAATTAAATCTTGTTCATTCCTACCAATAGAATGGTTATCGTTATTTTACATAGTCTTTTAAAATAGAAAATATGGTAAAACTAAATATAATTTTTTTTATAGATTTTGTTTTTTGATTTATGATTTTAGAAAGATTATTGGGATGACATCAGTTTGACAAAGATAGCGTATGCTTTGGATTTTGCTTTCACCCTTTTGACTAATACTACATACGCACATATTCAGCGGTTTGTCTTCTCTCTCTCTCTCTGCAAATTACATTCAAACATAAATGATTTTAGTTCCCATTTGGTTTATAGAAATAAAATCAATTTGAGGATTTGGATTTCAAATTTCATATTTGGTTTGTTGGATTGTTCGGATTTAAAATCTTAAGATTTAATTAAAATTTTAGAAACATATATAGGATTTTGAAATCCTTAAGGGATGCTCGGGATTTCGTAGGATTGTATAAAGTAAGGTTTTAAAAATATTAAAAACATTTGTTTTGTAATAATTGATTAATAAAAATATAATTTAATTATTTTTATAATTATTTATAATATTTTTAAAAATTATTTATAAATAATATAATCTAATTTCCTTCCAAATCCTACAAATCAAACACACCAATAATTTCCATGAAATCTAAACCCCTAAAAAAAAACTATAACCGGGCCCTTAGTCTGATATTTTTTTTCTCTTTTCTCACCTCTTTGGTATGCTTAATTTAACATGCTTCATGCAAAACTTTTTCTCTATATATAATGCTTGAGTTTTCTATCAGAAATCACTCAAATTTAACTCATCAAACGAGAGAGTTTAATAACTAATCAATAATGGATGCCTTTTATGCTTCTCTCCTCTCTCTCTTTCTTGTTCTCGTCTCATTCTCATTTCATTTGGTGTTCTACAAGTCTAAACCGGCTGTAGAAGGTAAACTTCCGCCTGGCCAAACAGGGTGGCCTGTGATCGGAGAAAGTATAGAGTTTCTTGCCACCGGGTGGAAGGGACACCCTGAAAAGTTCATCTTCGACCGCATGGTTAAGTTCTCATCTCATGTCTTCAGGACCTCTCTCATGCTAGAGGATGCTGCGGTGTTTTGTGGGTCTGCTGGTAACAAGTTTTTGTTCTCCAATGAGAACAAACTTGTCCAAGCATGGTGGCCTTCAAACGTCGACAAGATCTTCCCTTCTTCCAACCAAAACTCCAAGGTAGAAGCCATCAAGATGAGAAAGATGCTTCCAAATTTCTTCAAGCCTGAAGCCCTACACCGATATGTTCCAATTATGGACACGATGACACAGAAACACTTTGAAAACGGATGGGAAGGCAAGGACCAGATTGTGACATATGAGCTCACCAAGAACTTCACTTTCGGGCTTGCATGCAAGATCTTTGTTAGTATTGACGAACCAGAACGAGTCAAGTATTTATCTARCCCATTTGAGAGCATTGCTCTAGGGCTTCTCTCGATCCCCATAGACCTCCCCGGAACACCGTTCAGGAGAGGAATTAATGCAGCCAATTTCATTAGAAAAGAACTCGTTGCAATCATAAAGCAAAGAAAGACAGATCTGGCGGAAGGGAAAGCTTCAGCTACACAAGATATATTGTCACACATGCTTTACTTTAGAGATGAAGATGGCAAATTCATGGAAGAATCTGATATCGCCGACAAGATCCTCGGATTGTTGATTGGTGGCCATGACACTGCAAGCTCTGCGTGTGCATTCATTGTGAAGTATCTGGCTGAGTTGCCGGAGATTTACGAGGGAGTCTATAAAGGTATTAAAAGAAATACATGCAAGAATATATTTTCTCAACTCTAGGTCATATATATATATATCAACACACCTACGATTCATATTAAACTTTATGGAGTAACTACCAGCATTAACATGCACAAATTGTTGATGATTATAAATTAGTATTAAAAGCTTTATTAACTTTGTATAGAACAGCAAAATTTGACGTAAAACGAATGCAAAATTATAATGTAGAAATTAACGCGTATAAAATTACAGGACTTGATTGCTTGATAATATTTTTGTGAATATATATTATATATGTATGAGTGGTGTTTCACCAACCAAATTGTTTCTTAATTAGGAAAAAAATTAGCATATTTCTATATTAAATATTCTGAAAAATTATAGACAAAATTAAGGATATGTTACAGGAAATGAATCAAATGATCAGAAGGAATTAGAACCAGAGATTGACCTAGCTAATTAAGATGGATTAATGATGGTAATTAATTATTAATAAGCATAATTAAAGATCAATAACAAACTAATGAATCCTAAATAACTTAGAGTGAATAGATTTTGATAATTAATTTCTTTATAATATTGTAATTGCATGCAGAACAAATGGAAATTGCAAAATCTAAAGCATCAGGAGAGTTGTTGAAGTGGGAGGATTTATCAAAGATGAAGTACTCTTGGAATGTTGCATGTGAAGTTCTTAGATTAGCTCCACCTGTGCAAGGTGCTTTCAGAGAAGCCATTACTGATTTCATGTATAATGGTTATTCAATTCCTAAAGGCTGGAAGGTAATTTACATGTTATATACATATATATGTTCAGGTTCCGGGAAAAACAACAAAAAAAATGAAAATTGAGGAACATTTTAGTAACCGTTCATCTAGACGTATGTACATATGCATACCGATAATTTTAAGCTTTCTCTGGTATACACATGTGCATAATATGCATTCGTGCATAAAAACCAAGAAACAACTTCAATTACCGGTATGCACAAGTGCAGAGTGTTTCTCAGTTTTTCATTTTTTCGAGGTTTTTCCCTAACCTTCCCCCTACCCCTCTATCTCTCTCTCTCTCTCTCTCTCTCTCTCTCTCTCTATATATATATATATATATATAGAGGAGCGATCAAATGAAAACCACCCCAATTTGTAAAAACCGTAAAAATTACTCTCATCCGTCGTTAATCTTATGAAATTTTTTCATGAAATTGTTAATCTTGTGAAATTGTTTCATATAATATTTTTTTTAATGAAGTTGTTTCATATATGGTTAGGAAATTGTCTCATATACTACTTAATGAAATTTTAATGAAACTATTTCATGTATTTCTCTAAAATTAAAATAATGAAGATGATAATATTCAAGATTAACATCCTCCACAATAAAAATGATTAATCAACCTCTCATAATTACAAAAAAATGAACAAAATGAAAAATTATGATTGGTGTAATAAGGTTTTTACGGTTTTTACAAATTGAGTGGTTTTCATTTGATCGTTCCCTATATATATATATATATATATATATATATATATATATATCAGTTAACCATTAAGATTTCCATTATGAATATTAGGCTTTTAATTAGTTTTTAGCTAATGGGTTTTCATTTTACAGTTGTATTGGAGTGCAAACTCGACCCACAAAAACCCTGAATTCTTTTCTGAACCTCAAAGGTTTGATCCATCAAGATTTGATGGCAAAGGACCAGCACCATATACATTCGTACCATTTGGAGGAGGACCTCGTATGTGCCCTGGAAAAGAGTATGCCCGCTTAGAAATACTTGTGTTCATGCATCATCTAGTTACAAAATTTAAATGGGAGAAAGTAATTCCAGATGAGCAAATCATCGTCAACCCGATGCCTACTCCTGCCAAGGGACTTCCCATTCGCCTCTATCCTCGTAACATTTAAAGTTGGTACTCTGGTTCCTATCCAAATTATATCATTGTGTGTTTCAGTAAAAAAAAAGAAGTCGATTTCAAAAGATGCAAATAGCTCAAAAACGAAAAATAGGATCATTCTCAAAGTGTACAATCGTAAATTAATCTTTCTGCTTTTAATTTGTTGTATCTCTGTCATCAATAATGTATATTCTTTCAATGTTCACTCACAAGTAAACTACATATTGTGTAAAGGTACTCTTATTTTGGGATAATATTCATTTTTGCTTTTTCCGTCTAAAATAATCGGTCCGTTCCATTTGTATCTTGAGTTTAACGATTTACCATATGTTTTACGCAAAAAAAACTGCGGCTTGTGTATTTCGACCTCGCCGCATGCATATATAGGTTGCTGCACCGGCTTGCAAACAACTAATTCGGGAACCAGGTGACCTAGGCTCACGACACAAGGTCGGCCTGGCCCTAAGTCTCGTGTACAAGAATGGCCCAATAAGGGGCCAGATTTAGGTTAAATTTGATTGGTGCTTTGGTGAAAATTATGTTACACGTTAACTCCCATTTGATCACCTCCTCAATCAATACCAGATCTTACAATTTTTTTAACATCCCAGACAATCGTACCATATATTGTCCATTATGTCTACACGACTAGACCTGAACTTATGGTTTTAAAACGTGTTTAATAGAGGAGATATCTAGTCCCTTATAAGACAACCTTAGTAATTCCCTTCCCAACCGATGTGGGATCTTACAATTAATTTGTTGGTAATCGATATATTTGTTGTGGGTGTTGATGTATCATACAACAAGGTTCGACATACTGTGTGTTGTAAGTATTATTTCAAGATTCACGCATTATCCTTCTTGGAGTTTTGCGGTTTTTAAGGCAGGGAGTGTTTGGAGCCATTTATCCAAAACTTTCACCTGCTAAGCGAACACATGAAATTCAACATTATTTGTTTCATCATATAAGATTTTAGTCCATTAAAATATCATATGCAACAATTTACTAACCAGAGAAGAGTAGTCTATCTCACTTATCAGGTATCTCGATTCTTGCCATGTTCATCCAATATGATAATACGATTTAATAATATTTGTCGCATAAATGTTTGGTAAAAGGTCCATTATTGTTTACGACTTCACACGTTAATTAGTCTTTTCATTAATTAAAGATGTTGGACAAGTCTTGGTCAACAAGTATGAAAGTATCTATTTACAGAACAAGAACTAATTAAAGATTGTTACAATAAAATAATTCTAAAAATACAATGATGTAATAAAAAAAACCACTTAAGCAATATGTCACACCTGGACGAATAGATGACATTGAAAACTAGTAACTTGTGTCATCATCTTAATTCAAATCAAAATGTTTCATTGTAATAACGGTTAAGTTTTTCGACGTACAATATTTTAATAAAAAATAATTTATATATACATTACTATAATAAGTATATATATATGCCAACTCGGGATGATCTATCTCTTGTACACAAATTAAAACTTCTCTACAACTAGTAATTCGAAAAAATGGGCAGATAACTCTAGAACAACGGGTGCCAAAAACACAGGTCTTCGCAAAATGATAAGACCGTGTCAGAAAAAGCAGCAACTGAAGCTCGAATTCAATTGCTTATCATCCGGAAATGAACAATGAATCATGAGTTTCAAGATTTGCTAAAAGAGAACGGGAACCAGTCTGGCTATTTTCCCATCCCAGCCAGGGCGTAATTTCTTCACCTGCAGTACGTTTGAAACATATATGATTATCAGCCATTCGCATTAAAGAAGAACCAAATATAGATTGACAGGATAGAAAGGAATAACTATATATCAAGAAGGTGTTTATATACATAGAACCATCCCTCAACTTCGTATTCGATTTCAAGCTCTTCTCCGGAAACCAGGCTCAACTGGAATCAAATAATTGAAGTCAAGAAGTGGCCTGTCCACATTGTAGAATAAAGAAACATAAAGATCCACTGAAAATCAGCCTACCTCATCGTCACCACCAGCAGTGAAGTCAAAAAGTGAAGTCAATAAGAGGGTCGGTCCTCATCAAGGTGAAAAGGTGATGAGTATGGAGTTGGCTCTTCTCTAATCTGGAAAACTAAAAGAAAAGCAAATTAGTTGGTAATTAATTGTATAGACAGACGATATAGTGAAGTCTTAGGGGCCGTTTACCCATATGTTTTACCAGAGACAACACTATAATTTATTTTGATGCGTATCGAATGCAACAATTTACTTGGTAAGCGCTTACCTGGATAAGAGTTGTCACCCTCACTTACCAGGTAAGATTCTCCATCCTTCTCATTGCTCTTATCCGGTAAGATTCTTAGCCCTTTTCATGTTCATCCAATGAGGAAATTTATGCGTCAAACACTTACCAAGTAAGTGTCTAGTAAACGAGCCCTTAGTTGATAATGGGTAGAAAGAGCCTCACACGAGAACCATAATCTTCATAGAAAGAGGAACCAGCACTACAAGAAAAATGACCTTGAGAGAAGGTATTGTTTTGTATTTAAAAGTCTTAAAAGCTTCTCTAAAGTCTTTAGATAAGCTTTTCAATTTTGTCAAAGAGCTTCTCTGTGTAGCGGTAGGTAAAGGTTTTAGAGAGGGTTTTCGGAGGGTGTGTTTTTGTTAGCCTTTAGAGACACTTATTTGAGGCTTTAGATACACTTTCAAAACTTCTCTAAAGGTTAGTCAACTTTTTATTTAAAGCTTCTCTAAAAGTATATATATTAGTGACACCTTTCAGATATTTGTTACGGTTTGTACGAGTTACTAAAAGATACGTTTAGAGAAGATAATGGAAAAGCTTCTCTAAAGATATTGGCTTTAGTGACACTTTTAAAAACCTTCTCTAAAAATCCTCGTTAGTTACGCTTACAAAATATTCTCTAAATATGATATTTAGATACACAAACTCAAAATCTTCTCTAAATATTATCTTTAGTTATACTTTTAAAAAATCAATTCCTTCTCTAAAAAGTATATTAT